TCAAGGAACGGTGAGGAGTGTGTTGTTTACATCAAGACCACAAGACAAGATCTTGCTCTGATAAAGCCATAGCATAGGCAACTCGTCACCCCCAAAACCATGCTCTGATGACATGGACTCAGATAACATCTTCCCAAGAGGAAGACAGACAGTAGCCATAAAGATGGCAAAATGAGGGAATAAGCCAATGGGCAGGAACTTTTCCGAAGGTTCCTGGAGGATAAGGCAAGCAAGGGTCTGAGGCAAAATCATTGCATAACAACTGCTTGACTCAGGAAAATATAAAAGACCTGTTAAAAAAAAATTTTGTTGTTGCCAGTCAAGACAGACCCAACATACATAGTGAGGTCTCAACAGTTGGTGACCCTTGTCCTCTGTCCTACACACAGATGACCCTGGTCAGACCACTTGGACACAAAGATCTTGACACTTGGCAGTGTGTGGCAATGAGATTCACCTGGTAGCATCTCTGTACTGCATGGGAGAAGCTTCACATTGACTGCTGACCATAAGGGTCTTATTACTGGTAGTATATCCAGTATTCCCACACCATGCATTTTTTCAGGCATCTGAGGTAGATTTGTTTCCAGTGAAAGGAATGCAAGTGCCTTCAATTTAATTGTTTTTGGCAAGTAGTGTTTTTCTTTCCATTTCTTTTTGAATTCATGGCACTATCTAAGTTAGTGTAGGTCAGCAGATCAAAGTCCTTCATTGCTTCTCCCCGCAAACACAAACACCACAATAGACCATATGGTTTTCCTGCAGACAGGGGAGACCAGGGCATTTTTTGAAGCCCTTTAGCAATATATTGCCAATATGTCACTGGGTTTACAGGCATAGGTCCCTAAAGATGAAGAAAATTCTCTGTATTTGAAAAATATTAATTACAGAGTTTATTTCTCTGGGGTCAGTGTACTTATTTCCAAGAATAGCTCTGCGCCAGCTGGACAACACAGGGATGCTTCCACTGAGACCTCATAGGAAAGAGCTGTTGCTTTGTGAGTGCACCAAAACACATGCACTATTCACAGTACTTGAGGTTATTCTTGGCATGAACAGAGGCTACTCCTGCTCTTATCACAGCCAGTTTGAGTTTTGTTATTGGCTTTCCTGAATACATTCAATCAGACCCAAATTTGCTTTGTTGGTTGTATTATATAATCCTTTTTTTTTAAGAAAACAGGAATAGATAGTCCATAAAAAGAATCATTGGCAGAACTTGCTGGCAATATTACATATTTACAATCTCTGGTGTTTGTAAATGCTGGTAGAAGTACTACCTCTCACACTTCTGGTTAAACTGTATGGTTTGTAAAATGTGCGCACAACTTCTCAGCAAAGGAAGCTTTTTAATACTCTTTATTGGCTGGAGGAAAGTGGGTGCCAAATACAACTGTGAAATGGGAAACAATGCACAAAGGAAAAGTTCCAGAACATCAATACATCCGTTCCTTTTCTCTGCCATAAATAACCAACACACCCTTAAATACAAGACTAAATGGCTCCAGGAAACTCTCATTAATGAAAATGTCCTAGCTGGGTTTCTCACTTTCATTTGGAATTTACATGCCCCAAGAATCTTTTTCTGACCTAGACAGCAGATATGTTGTTCTCTAAGTAATACTAAGCACTGAGATAAACTAAGATAAACTAAAACTAGCCTACTATCCAGAGAGACTTAAACCTTCCTCTCTCACTGTCCAACATATTAATGTTGAAAGGCACAGCCCTGCTGCTGTTAAAATCAATGACAAAATCCTACACTGAGGATATAAAGACACAGTGTGCGTTCCAGCATCTGTCCTTCAGTTTTCTGGAAACCAGAGATAAGGCAGGAAACAAAATAAATGGCCTGCATATATGTACTACGTGCAGATAAGTTTCATTATAAAATATAGCAGCCATGATGTTTTACAGGGAAGGTCTCATGATGAGACAGGATGCATAGACAGCATATTTTCTGCAGATCAGAAGTAGTAGGGTAATTAGACCAGTCATTTTTCTAGGGGACATTTATATTAAAATTAGCATATTTCACTGTATAAAAGAAGAGATAACTGATACCAACCATCTGTAGCTTTATCACCGTGAAACTTGTACTATACAGACTTGTCTTAAATATCATGATCTAGAATGTTTCTTAACTTCCAACTGAGTCATTAAAAACTGAGTCATTAATACAATATCAAAACCTTAAAATAACTTCAGGAACTACCCCTACCTCTAATTTCTCCTGGCAGCTTCTTCTAATTTCACAATCACATTTTTCCACTTAAAACCCCCACACCCACACCTCTTTCCCCAGTTCCTGTACGGAATGTCTGTGAATTACAGGGAAGCTGCCTTGCTAATTAAAAAGAGAAAATGGCAAAAATTACTATTGCTTGATTTCATCATATAGAAAATGAGCCAGATCTTCCGCCATTACTCATGGTACACATAGTACTATGGTACACATAGTACCATGTACATGGTACAGGGTTTCCTGACAAGTGAGAGCCTTTACTAAAGGTGAAATAACATAAGCTGCAGAAAAGAAAGGTGGTACAACCTCTTCTAACATTTTCAATGCCTTTGAAAGTTCATTCTTGTGTCGCTTTCATGAATAGAAACCTGAATTTGTGGGTCTGTCATCCATGGCACAGACGCAAGCTGCATTCTTCTGAGCCTTGGATGCAGACTCTAGGGAGGGCACCAGGCTCCAATTAATGAGGTCTGGAAACAGAGAAAGGCAGAGGCAGTCCTCCCTTGGATGGGTCACGTAGAATGAAATGGCCACCTTCTCCCCAAGCCTTCTGGTGCTATGGGTATTCCCAGTTTCATTGTGATTTGGCTGCTGTTGCATGGAAAGAGGGCAGGAGGGCTTCTGGGCTAGAATGGGAACAGGGAACTAAATGCAAAAAGGGCCTTGGGCAGCTGACATACCAAACCTCTTGGTGCCTGGAGTGAAGTCTAGACCACAGAATTAGCCATCCAGCAGACCTTCCCAGTGGGGAGAGATTTGGGACTGTGAAGAATGACTGATGGAATTCCAGAATGCTGGAAAGGTAACTGCTTAAACATTCTAGATAGAAGACTCTTAAGAGAACTCTTATGCTGGAAAGGTAACTGCTTAAACATACTAGATAGAAGACTCTTAAGAGAACTCTTTTAAAGTCTGTCCATCCTTGGGAGTTATGAATGTTTCAATGTGCACCAGGAGAAGACATCATCTTCTGCTTGGGTTTCACAGCCCAGGGCTTCTCTCCAAATGCTGTTTAAAAAACCCCCTTCTTTCCCAAGAATGGTGTAAGGAGATTCAATCCTTCCTCTTGAAAAGGTGACACAGGTCAACAGATAGACAACTGTCTCAGGATACAAGGCCTGAAGTCAAGCATGCTCTTGAGCCAGAAGAGATCTGTACTCATGTTCAGATGCATGACCTAACCACAAGGTTCACACGTCTCTTGCTGGCCTACTGAAGCTTCAATTCTTTTTGCACAAGCAAAAACACTGGAAAGGGGAGGAAACGGTGGAAGATTTATTCTCTACAAAATAGCCTGTATTTACTTAGCCTGAGCAGGGAGTGTGCAAGATGGCAGGAGACTCTGGCTTTGAGGACCTGAAATCACCTACTTAGCCAAGATGGGACACAAGTCTGGCCCAGGACCTCCGTACAAGTATTTGCAGTTCTTTATCATCCAGGTTCTGAGAAAAACAATCTACAGTAACTTGGAAAACCTCTGTAGGAAAATGTAGGCAGAAAAATGCAAGGAAAACCGAGCAGTTACTTTTTCTCCCCGTTCTGCTGTGGTTTACTGGGGAACAAGAGAGGAGCCACAGGCTTGCCAACTCTTCTGATTTTATGGGCCTCGTGGTATATATTTTTTTAATTGCCTGACTCTTGAGACTGTGGGATTGTGAGGATTTCAAGTTTAATTTAAAAAAGAGGCTGGCATGTAGCTGTTGTGGCTTCAAAGACATGTTGGAGGTCAACTCCCCGACCTCAAAAACTAGAGGCAAATACAAAGATAACACAGATGAAGAATCTCCTGGGTTTGGAGGGCCAGGCCCACCGCTTCAAACCCTGGAGGGCTGGCAGCATTGGAGATATTCAAGATGCTTTTCTAAGGAGGGTATGTGACCGTGTCACGGAGGGAACGTGAAATGATCAGATCAGACCCGTGACTTCATCCACGCCTGCAGCACGCTCTTAACGGCCCACTGGGGACCCAACGCAACCACCGGCCGCTGAAGGAACAACTTGGTCCCGACTAACACAACTAAAGGCGGATGTCAGCCCGAAGTCCTGGATAGCTTCGGCCCGATAAAACCAGGACTACCGGCGGCGCGCCTCCGACCGAGCGCGGCCCCACCAGCGGGACCGCGCCGGT